AATCCCGTAAGCCACTCAAGAACCAAACATATAGACATCTAACATCATTTCTTGAGAGACCATGAAACCAAAGGAGATATCGAAATTCGTCATGTGAGCACCGAAAAACAACTAGCCGATATCTTCACTAAGCCTCTCGATGAGTCAAGGTTTTGTGCTTTGCGTAGTGAGCTAAATATACTTGATTCTTGTAACATGGTTTGAAATATGGCACACCTCTGTTTGACTACCTAGCGACATAGGAAAATGATTTAAAAGGGTATTATATTGTGTTTCAAAACCATTTCAAAAGGCCAACTAAGTGTTATGACCATTGTCTGTATTGTTGATTGCTTACTGGTCATGATATTTAGAGAATATATATCCATATCTGAGGTGAAGGATGTCATAAAGTTTCAGCGTAATCCCTGCAAGATTGGCAGGGCGGCAGTGCCGCTCTTAATGGCCGGCAGTGCCGCCCTCTGAAAACTGGACCGTTTTCTACCAATTTTGGCTGGGTTGTGGGGCCTGTTTTCTCCTATCTATTTCTTTCTCTGTCCCCTGACTCAACTCTTCCCTTCTCTCCCAACCGACGCCGACGCCGACGCCCGTGCTTCTCTCTTCTTTTCTCCCAAGCATGTGCCGTCGCCGTTCCTTGCGGTCTGCCACCCCGACAGTGCCGCCCCTATAGCCGACCGAGTCACTTCATCACTGGCCCCTGCAGGAAGCTCCTGGCCAAGCCATTTCTCCTCTTCTCCCTCCACTCCATTGGTTTGGAAGCAAGGTGAAACCCTAACCCCATTCGATCTATGCAATGTGAAGCTTTTAGTCATGGATTTTAGTTTCTAGGGGGATTATGAAGGGTTTAGAAAGGTTTTTGATGATTGAATCGAGTTGATTTTGGATTTCACCGATTGGATGATTTTGCGGAGAGCGATAATGCCGTCCATGGGACCATTAATGGCACCCCTAGCAGATTCTAACTGCTATACTCAATTTTATAAATCCGATGAAGTTCAGAATGGATTGGATTCACATATCAAAAATTGTTTCTAAAGTTTTTCATACTCAATCTTTCAAATTCATGGCTAGGGTTTCATGTATTCTTTGCTTAGACTGTGATTATGAAATTGTGATGATGAATAGACACTGTTGGAAATAGGATTTAACTAGAACAAGAAAGTTGAAAATGAAATAGTGAAGCAACTGAGGGTGGCAGTGCTGGCCTCAGGGGGCGGCAGTGCCGCCCTACCATGCTGATTCCAAATCTAGCAAAGCTTCCTATGTCATTTTTGAAATTCTTTTTCTTGTTAAAACCTGCTTGCAGCTGTGTCTAACTCATTATCTTATACAGTTTCTTATCAAATCTCATTTAATTGCATAGATGAACGAAGGAAAAAGAAAGGTGTTGACAACCAAGCAAAAGGTCAAGAGAGGCAGGGGATAGGCGAGCTATACTCCCAATGACAGAAATCTTGATGAAGACCTTGCTGAAGAAGAAAACATTCAGAGGATGAGAAGAACCATTCGTGTGTGGCCTGATTCTTCTCTACACATTTCAGAGTTTGATAGCAGCTATATGAGAAATAACACTGATGTGTTCAACCACATTTCTCCCCAAAACAATGATAATCATAAGGTTATTGATTATTCTATGAGTTGGAAGAAGACAGGTGAAACTAGAGAGATTGATCCCTACTCCTCTGACAGATCCAATGGCATTGATTATATATTTTGGAATGCTTTTCAATTTGATTTTTATGCCACAGCTATCCTATCCAAGTCAAAGGGCAAGATTAGTAAGATGCAGTATATTGATTTTGGTGACTTGAAAAGCAGAGATGATCATCAGTTTGCTACAGCCATCAAGACCTATGACCGCTTTGAGATGACAGATATCATGAGTTTCAGGTATGATTAGAACAGGGAGATTTTTGTATAGTTCCATGCCACTTACTATTGGAATAGAGAAGTGGATGAGCTTCATTGGATGACTGATGGGCGACACTATCGCATTGATTTTGTCACCTTCTATCGTATTCTTGGTTTTGGACACATCCACAGGAGATATGAGAGGATTCATAATGAGCGTCGTCTTGAGCCAATGGAAGTAAGCTTCATGTGGGAGGATCAAAATCTTGCAGTTCTTGATTGGTCAAGGACCAAGCTCAAGAGCTTCTATTACATCATGAATAATCTTTTCAGGATCACTCTCAACCCTAAAGACAATGCAACAGATTTGAATGGCTATATCACTAATGTGTTGTCTAGGTTTTCCAGCAGTGAAAAGTTTAATGTTCCAAGATTCATTTGGGTTGAGCTAGCATGTTTATGAATCCTTACCTCATGTTTATGATTGAGAGAGTGACTGGCATGTGGTTCCCTAAGAATTGTGAGCATACTGTTTACAAGATCAAAAAGACTCATGGTGGCTTAGGGGGACTTGCATCAGCTACTTAGCACACTGGTTCTGAAGGACTTGGAGATAGTGGGGCAGCAGGCTTTCACTCTTCTGGAGCTGAACATAGAGATATTTCTGAGCCGTCCAGAGCTAGGGAACAAAAGAAGAAATCAAAGTGGGGAAAGATGAGTGCATGTATGAAGGCAATCTTTACTCACTGTGCATATGCTTCATAGACTGCTTATGAGGATAGAATGGAGAATAGAGAAGTAGTGAGGCATGCTAGGGAGATGGCAGGGCTGCCACCACTTCCACCAGTGCAGCCACCACCTCAGTTTTCTAACTTGCCTCGCCTTTCTTCCTCTGACGAAGAGCAGGATCAGCCACATGAGCACCATGATGGATAGCCAGATGATCAGCAACATAGACACTTATATGAGCCATTCAGTCAGTACTACGGGTACCCACAGGGACAACATTTTGAGGAGCCCCCAAGTAAGCAGGACCTTGGTGCAAAGATTCACCCTACAGAGGCCGATCCACAGGTTTAGGCAGCTTTGTTTCGCACATATTCCAGGAGACCGCGTCCTTCGATGGATCAGCTAGGGCCTTCTACATCAGTTGGGGCAGCACCTCTACGACGTTCAACACGCTTCACTTCGCACACCCACGTCGCCGGACGTGCCCGCGTTGACTCCGGCAGTGACGAGTGACTTTTCTTCTTTTTCTTCTTCTTTTTGGTACTTGATGCCAAAGGGGGAGAAAATTAGAGGGGTCAACAGATTTTCAACGCCTTGCTGCTACGCTTTATATTCAGATTCGATGAGAGTAGTTGTTAGATTGTGAGTTTGAGAGTCGCTCAAAACTCTATTTTATGAAATTATGCTACTTTGTGACTTTATTTGCTTCGGATATGGACATGTATTCATGGTTACAATTTTAGCTTGTCATATTCTGAGTTTAGATTGTTTTATATTTATATGATCTGCTGTAGAAATCTAATTGCTACCTGACTGATATAGTCAGGACGGCAGTGCCGCCCTATGGGGCCGGCAGTGCCGCCCTCTGCTGTATCAGCCAGAATCTTGTGTGCTTGAACTGATAAAACCTGTCATATGCATCAAGTTTACTCCTGTGATATTTTGTTCAGCACCCCACAGCAGGCATGGATGTAGGGGGAGGTTCCCATCACACCTAAAATGTGAATCATGGCCTTTTATGCCAAATTGAGAATTCAAATCTCTATTCACATATTTAGGGAGAGGCTCCTACACCCATGGTTCAAAAATCTCAGTTTAGATTTCATATCATTTGTAAACTCTAATTGGGTTATCATCAATTACCAAAAAGAGGGAGATTGTAAGTGCAATCAAGCCCTATTGTGGGTTTTGGTATTGATGACCACCAAATTAGAGGGCTAATGAGATTTATCGAGATGACAAGCAGGGAATCGAAGAATGAGGATGATGAACAGGTGGCAGGTGTCCTAATTATAAAAGGTGGCTGGACCTAACTCAAAGGAGGTTTAAATTCTTTTATGTTTTGAAATTAAGTTTAGGGAAAGCCGTACTATTAAGAGGGATTTTAGGACAGTTGGTCAGCTGTTGAACTAGATGCTCAAATTCACAAATCTACATCCTCTCACCTAGTCAAAACAGTCAGCCAAATTTCATATCATCTTACCTATTTTGGCTAGGGCGACAGTGCCGCCCTGTTAAGAGCGGCACTGTCGCCCTTGACTGACCGTTGGGCTCGGGGGTATTTATACCCTTTAGGCCCAGCCCACAACGGTCATCTTCTCCACTGAGTCATTCTGCTCGAAATAAGACAGAACCAAAGCTCACCTCTCTCCTCCATTGTTGCTTCTCCATCCCTCAAGCTAATCCTTGATTCTAACCATCCAAACTTAAGAGAAAAGACAACAAAACTCGATTGGAAAGAAGATACACTGATTCCCAAAATCTAAAAGCATTTGGTTCACGTTTGGTCGACGGTTCTAGGGTTTGTTACTCTTGGAGCTTGCTCCTAGCCGGCTAGGCGTCGCTCTTGTGCTTGCCAACTTGTGTGGCAGACTTGGGAGGTTTATAACCTCATTCAAAAGGTAAGAAATTATCCCTCACTTTAAGAGTTCACTCTCTTGATTTGAGAACGATGGTAAGGCAAGCCTTTGTGGCAAGCTCAAGCCTTTTGTGGCTTCCTCAACAACGTGGACTTAGGCAAACCTTAGTGGTGAGCTGAACCACGGGATAAATCTTGTGTCTCGCGTGCTTCATCTTTACTATACTTGCTGTTTACCTTACTGCCAGCTGTTGTTAGGATTTAGTTGCTCGATTCACTGTTGTATGAAGTTTTTGTGGTATACAGTTTTCGAACTAGATCTTGACTTTATATTGCAGGATTAAGCAGCTAGTGGGGTCAGGTTCATATCTGTTAAATCTCAACTGTGTTAGATTATTTTTCGTAGAGCGACAGTGCCGTCCTGTAAGGCCGGCCATGCCGCCCTCTGTTTTAACAGAAGTTTTGAGTTGAATTTTTACAGGTCTATTCACCTTCCTCTAGGCCTCATTTATCTCCCTATAGATCCTACATGAGTACATAGTAAAACCCTTCATTTGCCACCATGACAAATTCTTATTACCACATGATACGCGGGCATAGGGTCAGTGTGCTCATGAGATGCATGCAAGATTTTTGTTGCAAAGCAGGAAAGAATTTTTGTTAGGAAATCCAGACGAGTATTTGTGATAGTTTATGAAATTTTTTGTTTTAAATTTTGTGAACGTGCTTATTACTATTTATTTTCCTTCAGCTACTACTTGTGGTGGTTCTTGAAATAGGGGTAATCTTGCAGGGCTTCATTGCACATGGGAAAAAAAAAGAGAAAGGACAGAGGAGGAGGGAATCCCATGCTCCTTAAATCCTGCTCCCATTCTGCTACCGTCGCGTCGTACAGCACCATTTCCATACAGGCGCTCTCTCCGACGCAAGCGAAACGAGCTTCGTCCACCTCCCCACTCAATCAATCAAAGAAGAAGGAAGGCATGGACCGCACCTACAAGGGCGGCATCAAGGCGTACTGGAAGCGCCGGGGCTACTACCGCATCGACGCCGCCGCGGCGCATCGACGCCGCCGCGGCGCAGCGCCGCCCGCCACTCCCCACCGCGGAGCTCGGAGGCGGTGGCGTCGCCCAGGCCCCGGAGGTTGGCTCCGGCCGGCGCCATCGCCGTCGCCGCGGGTGGCGCGTGCGGCGCGGCCAGCTGGGGCGGCGGCTGCTCTCCGCGCTGTCGCCGCGCCGGTGGCTCATGCGGCTCTGCGACGCCTACGTGTCCGCCATGCTGCGGCTGGCGTCCTCCCCCGCCGTCGTTGGGTACGGCGCCGGCGGGCCCTACTGCGCCACGGCGACCCACGGCCACGGAGCGGCCGTGCAGCTCAAGGAGTACGACGAGAAGGTGCTGGTGGAGATCTACAGGTCCATCCTCGCGCGCGGCGGGCCTCTCCCCATCGCCGGCGACGGCGCCGGTGCGCCGGCCGCCGCCACGCTACGGCTACCGACGGCTGTTTGAGCTTGAGCGGCAAAAAGAAACATGGATTCTTCTTGCTTACTCTTTATGTCGCGACTTGTAATAAGTTGTAACTTTGGTGCGCCTCACAATGCAAGCATTCCTTCTTCGTAAATCACGGTTCCTGTTTTCTTCATTCACAATTCGATCATCAAGCTCTGTCTGGTGCATATTTCCACCGCGGATAACAAGCTCTGTCTGGTTTGTCTGCTATACTAGCGCAAAGTGCAACCATAGTGAAAATGTTTCTAGCGATGAATCGAAGAAGAACAAAACGTGGAGATTATTAATTAGCATCTCTACTTTGTTAACAAGTCAGAATTTTAGTCAATATGTTTATTTGGCTGTGGCTTGTCGTAAATGATCGTAAATTTTCAGTCGAAACAGTATTTTTTTCTCACGTAAACCAGCCAGCAGTACTTCTTCATGAAACAGCAACGATATTAACCAGCCAGCCGAACAAGCCGAGTATTGCTCAGCCGTACACAAATACGGTCCAGTACTCCCAAGACCTGATCTCATAGGTTTTAGATGCTCCTGAAGTACTGTAGTAATAACTGTTGCAGTACCTGGTACGATTTTCATAGATTCTCAAGCATGAGCTTAAAAACTTGCCTTTGCCTCGCTAGCAGTAGCAGCAGGTAAGGTAGGCAGCCAAACCAGGTACTGCTACATGTGACGGTCGTCTGGCAATCGTACTGCTCGGCTTATAATTCGTATTTTTTCAATCAACGAATAATATTTTTCTCTCATAATAAATTAAGCAACGATACTTTCAGTCATGACTTTCCATACTTACTAGCGATAAGACATCACTAAAATTCATCATCATCATCCATCCTTTTTCTTTTGAAGGATCCTCCTCCTAACACACACACAGGGGCTGGGCCGGGTGCGAGCGCGAGCGCGGGCAGCGGTGCCCACGCCGCCTGCCCGCCTCCTCGATGCGCCAGCTGGGGCAATCGCGCAGCTGACAGCATGGAGCTCTGCTCTGGGATTGGGCAAGTGCTCCTTCCTACCTTAACATTTTCGGCACTCGATCAGCCACGGCCCTGTTTCACAGCAAAATCCTTGTGTGCTCTTCTTGCAGGTGCATCACATACCAAAATTCTCTAAGACAGAGCCTTCCTAATGGTAAACGTGAAACAAATGAAAAATAAATTTAAACAAAAAATCTCCAACTACTACTAAGAAATGTCAATAATTGGACTCCACGTAACATAACCAACGTCCTAAGAAATGTCAATAATTGGACTCCACGTAACATAACCAACGTCCTTATATAGAATAATATAAAAAATGTTCTGACCAGCATCAGCTAGCCGCTCCAGCCGAACAGGCTGTTAGCAAACCGAGGCCTTGTCCATGAAGAAGGCCTTCTTATTAGTTAGTATTACGATACCACCTGCTTAACACAACTTCCGCCGTTGGCACAGACGCCCTGCTATTCGGTTACGTTCCGCGCGAGAGCCCGAAGATGTCCCATGAAGAAGTGGAAGCTTCGTTATCGTATGGGCTCTACAACAATGACCGTGGCATCACAATTATTTCCCCAATAATCTAGTAGCAATCGTGATTAATTAATTAGACATAATAGTTCATCGCTTAATTTCTACCGCCCAGAATTGTCCAAGGATGATTCCAGGAGGAGGAGCCACTTCTTCTGGTTCCGCGGCGTTTTCAGCCTTGGCAGCCTGCGCCATGCGTGTCACTGCCTCCTCTGTGTTGGCCTCAGGAACCAAGATTGCTACGGATGACAAAGAACAACAACAATATAATAATGGCATAATTAATCCAGAATTAATGCAACTCAAACATCATCCAACCTCCGTCCAGAAAGATGCAATTTTGGAGTATGTTACTAGTATCTTTTGTATACAGGTCTGATTAAATTGAAAACTGTTTGACTACTCGAAAACGACAATTGCATTAGAGAGAGCGAGATATATAGAGAGAGAGTACTAGGGAGCAAGAAGAACCAAACACATTAAATCAGTCAGTACCTGAGGTCTATGTTTCCGTGTCTACGGGAGAGGAGCCACAGGATGTGTATAGTTCCGTGAAATTTAGAATTTGGCTATGACAGTATTTTTGTTTTTATTTGATAATTAGTGTTCAATCATGGACTAATTAGGTTCAAAACGTTCGTCTCGCGATTTTCAATTAAACTGTGTAATTAGTTTTTTTTCATCTATATTTAATGTTCCATGCATATATCGCAAGATTCGATATAATGACTACTATAGCACTTTTTAAGAAACTTTTTAGAAACTAAACACAGCCTGAATCAGCGGGAGCTCGCTGCATCGTTTGAGCAGCTTGTCCTTCCTTGATAGGAGGTCCGAAGAGCTGCTGCTGAATCGACTGCATAATGTGAAGGTTTGCTGCGATGCTGCTGCTGCTTCTGCTCAAGCAACGAGGATGGCAACGGGGCGGTTTCGAGTTGGATATCCGTCGGTTTCGGGTCTTACGGGTTCGGGTTCGGGGATGATTTCTTATCCACGGTTTTCGGGTTCGGGGCCCCGAAACCAATCGGGTTCGGTTTCGGGTTTGGTTTTCCACCCGTAGATATCCAATGAATATCCGAAATAAATAATTTGGAATTAAAACTCATGTTTTATAATATGCTAATAATAACTTATTTACTTATATTATTAAATTTATTCGAAGTTGACTTATGAAAATATTTATTATTTGTTGCCTCTTGTTTATACATGTGAATATGTGTATATATATCATGGATATGTTTATAAAAAGTCCTTATTTCTCTTACTATGTTGCCATACAAAACGGGTTTCGGGTATCCATTCGGGTTTCGGGTATCCGCGGGTTCGGTTTTGGGGACGGATTATCACCCGAATCGATGTTCGGTGCGGTTTCGGGTTTTGGTTTTGGGTTTTGGGTTCAGGTGCACAGAGACTCCACCTGATCCGAATCCACCCCGTTGCCATCCTTATCAAGCAATCTGGCGGCGGTGTCTGGAGTACCTGGACAAGCTCTAGCTGTGCCTGAGACAGGTCTGCCAGACGAGTGTTCGGAGGAAGGGGACGCAGAGGGTGGGAGGCCGGTGCTTGCTCGGTAGCAGGGGAATGACTTGAAGCTTCTTCAGCTAGACGTCTCAGATGCAATTTATGTTTCTGCAGTTCGCGAACCGATCTTATATATCAGCAAAAAAAAAAAGGTGCAATATCCAGTTTTTAGTTTAATTTGTAATAAAAAGAGGCCTTCTTTATATTAATCACCTGAAGGTGGCTTGCAACTTTCTCTCTCCTAACTTCAGGAATGTTCTTCACAACACACAAGTCTGGCTTGCACAACTCACAGCTAACATGTACAAAATGTTACATCATCCAAAGCGACTAGCATCCATGCCCAAGAAATTCTTTACAAAATGCTATATCATCCAAAGCAACTAGCATCCATCAATGTTTCATCTCCATCTCACAAAATGTTTGATCTGTTTGCTGACACAAAATAATCATGTTACATCTAGCGCCTTCCACCTAGAAAATCAAAACATATTTTCAGCTTCAACTAGTAGTGTGTGCTGCCTTATTTTCAGCTCATGTATTATCTGAAATGCAACACAAAGCTGGCCATGCACCACATATACTTATATGCACATATGCAATTGAACAAGCAACTTAACATCTCAAAGATGTGTACACTAACCCCAATTCCAGCCGCTTCAATGAGTTTTGGGTGCATGCCTCTCCTCCCCTGCTGCAAGACCAACATAGCACATATTAGTAAGGTCAAAAGAGTACGTAAGTTTGTGACCATAACCTGTATAAAAAAAGACAAGTCCAGTAACTGAGAACATAAATCTATTCTAGATTAAATTTATAGTTTCCTTTCAGTACATCATCAAGATAATATTTTCATAACTATCCATTTTCTGTTATGAACAGAAGATTCGCATAGATTTCCTAATCTATCTACTGCTATTATGAATTAGGCAACAGAAAGATTATCATACCGTTACGCACAAGAAGATCAACCACCAATGTTGTAGATGTTCAAATAATCTCTAAAAGGTTGCAAGTTGCCCACTTCGTGTAACACCCTAAAAATTTGCTCTTTTTAAAATAGGGCTAAAAAGATTTAATTTGGTATTTTTATGCTCATGAAAACATAGGAAAATAATAATTTTTATTAAATTAAAATTTATCATAAGGTAGCAATAGGTTGGTGCATTCATGCTAATGCATATTTATTTTTATGATGCTTTGGTTTGATTGAAATTTGCAAAAGAATTTGAATTTGATTTGAATTTGGATTTGGATTTGAAAATGTGTTTAAGAAAAAAAAAGAAAGGAATTTTTCCTCACTCTCTCTCCTTTCTCGGCTTTTGGCCTAGCCGGCCTGCCTCCCTCGCCCCTCCCTCTCTTAGCCTGGCCCTTCCCCTCGGCCTTCTCTTCCCCCGCGTGGGCCGCCAAACCTTGTGGCCTAGTGCTCCCTCCTTTCCTTCCCTAGCGCCAGCCCAGTCCCCTCCTTTCTCCTCTCTCTCGGCCCTTTCTCGTGCCTGAAGGCCCAACGCAGCCGCTCGGCAGGCAGCGCGCTGCGCCCTCTCTCGCGGTGACTGACCGCCCGACCCCTCACTCGTCGACGCCTACAGGTGGGACCGCCCTGTCTGCTCCATCTTCGACCTCTAGCTCGTGTTCGACGTGGACTCCGCCATGACCGTGTCCGCCCCGTCCAAGCCCCCTCTCGGTAGCGTTCGCCCCACGCTACGAGCCTCTTAAATACCGACCCCTGGGCCTGTTTCGACCCCACCGAGCCATAGAGCAAGCCGCCACGCCGCCTGTGCCCTAGGGCCGCCGTCTAGATTCCGCTGAGAAGAAGTTCAACGCCGTCGTGCCGATTAGCTGCTCCTCCGTCACGTTAAGAGCATCCCCGAGCTTCGCGTTGAGTTTGCAAGCACGCCAAGCCCTTAACTCTCTCTGTCTCGCTCTGTTTTGGCTTACCCCGTGTCGCCGTCACTCCGCCGCCGCCATTGCTCG